TCCATGAACAACGCCCTTGAAGTTGTGAAAGAGCAAGTCCAGGCTGAGCTGGTCGGCGTGAAGGAGGAGATTGCAGACCTCAAGAGTGAGGTCACTCTCGTGAAGAGAGCCATGGCTAGCGGACCAGCCCCGGTGCAATCCGTCCCACGTGCTGATGTTCCAAGACCGAAGAACTTCGGAGGTTCAAGGAACGCGAGGGAGTTAGAGAACTTCCTTTGGAGTCTTGAGCAGTACTTCAAGGCATCCGGCATCCAAGAGGATGAGGTAAAACTTCGTACCGCTCCACTATACTTGGTCGATGTTGCAATGGTGTGGTGGAGGCGACGTGAAGCGGACGTCGAAAGAGGTACTTGTGTGATGGCAACGTGGGAAGATTTCAAGAGAGAAATCAAGAGGCAGTTCTACCCAGAGAACGTGGAGTTTGAAGCCCGTTCGAAGTTGAGAAGACTCACCCAGAGGGGTGGAGTTCGAGAATACGTGAAAGAATTCTCGGAGCTGCTTCTAGAGATCCCGGACATCACGGACAAGGAGGCCATGCACGGCTTTCTTGATGGGCTGCAACCATGGGCCAAGATGGAGATGCAACGTCGAGGAGTGCAAGACCTTGCAACTGCCATGGCCACGGCGGAGTCTTTTGTTGAGTACAAAAGGCAAGAGAGCAGCGGCAAAGAGAAGAGTTCGAAGCCCAACAAGGGTGGAGAACAGCAGAAGCCTTTCAAGGAGGGCACTCGCGCTCAACAACAAGGTGGTTCGAGCAAAGGGGTAAGTACGAGCCAAAACCCATGTCTTGCTTCCTTTGCGATGGACCACATCGAGTGCGGGACTGCCCAAGGAAGGCGAGATTGGCGGCCATGGAAGCTCAAGAGGAGGAGCCCAAGGCAGCGGAGGCCAAGATTGGCTCAATCCGCAAGCTTGGCGCGGTGAAGACCGACGTCAAGGAGAGCAAGCGTGGGAGGTGCTATGTTCTGGCGCAATTCATGCAAGGCGAGTCAAAAGCCTTGGTGGATACCGGTGCCACGGACAACTTCCTTCGCATCGAGGAGGCAAACCGGCTGGGTATTGCTTACGAGAAGGGGCAAGGGAGGCTCAAGACGATCAACTCGGAGTCCATCCCAATCCATGGAGTTGCTCACAACGTGCCAGTGAAGCTGCGCGAGTGGGAAGGCCTCATCGACTTTTCCGTCGTCACCATGGATGATCACCCAGTCATCCTCGGCATCAACTTCCTCGACAATGAGGGAGTGCTCTTGAAGCCCAACTCCAACACGATGTGCTTGGCGAAGGAGGGGGAGTTCCATACGATCCATCTCTTGAGAGAAGATGGCCCCCATAGTGCTTTATCGGCCATGCAGGTATTGAAGGGGTTCAAGAAGAATGAACCAACCTTTCTTGTGTCCTTGAAAATGGAGGAAGAAGGAGGCTTAGCGGGAATCACAACTCCCATCATCGAAGGCGTCCTCGAAGAGTTCGATGACGTGATGCCATCGGAGTTGCCCAAGAAGCTGCCACCAAGAAGAGAGGTGGACCACAAGATCGAGTTGGAGCCAGGAGCGAAACCCCCTTCGCGAGCACCATACCGCATGTCGCCACCGGAGCTAGAGGAGTTGCGGAGGCAGCTCAAAGACTTGGTGGATGCAGGCTATATGCGGCCATCGAAGTCACCTTTTGGAGCACCGGTGCTGTTCCAAAAGAAGAAGGAAGGGTCGTTGCGCATGTGCATCGACTATCGAGCCATCAACAAGTTGACGGTGAAGAACAAGTGGCCGATTCCCAACATTGGCGATCTGTTCGACCAGCTTGGAGATGCTATGTGGTTCACCAAGCTAGATCTTCGCTCGGGCTACTATCAAGTGCGGATAGCAAAGGGCGACGAGCCAAAGACGGCTTGTGTGACGAGGTATGGCTCTTACGAGTTTCTTGTGATGCCATTCGGTCTCACCAACGCACCAGCCACGTTTTGCACTTTGATGAATCAAGTGTTCGAGCCATTCTTGGACCGGTTTGTCGTGGTCTACTTGGATGACATCGTCGTGTATAGCAAAACACTCGATGAGCATGCCGAGAATCTACGCCAAGTCTTCCAAGTCCTTCGCGACAACGAGTTGTACGTCAAGAGGGAGAAGTGCACATTTGCCGCCACGGAGGTTCCATTCTTGGGGCACATCATTGGTGGAGGCAAGTTGAAGATGGATGGAGCGAAGGTGCAGGCAATCCAAGAATGGGAGCCGCCGACGAAGGTGCCAGAGTTGCGGTCATTCCTCGGCCTTGCCAACTACTATCGGAGGTTTATCAAGGGCTACTCCAACATTGCAGCACCCTTGAAGGATCTCTTGAAGAAGAACAAGGCGTGGGATTGGTCGGAAAGGTGCCAAGAAGCATTCGAGGCCTTGAAGCAAGCAGTGGTGAAGGAGCCCGTGCTCGTGCTCCCCAACCCGACGTTGGCCTACGAAGTGCAGACCGATGCGTCCGACTTCGCGATTGGGGGCGTGTTGATGCAAGATGGGCATCCCATTGCCTTCGAGAGTCGGAAGCTTAGCGAGACGGAGAGGCGATACACCGTTCAAGAGAAGGAGATGACGGCCGTGGTGCATTGCTTGCGCACATGGAGGCACTACTTGTTGGGGTCAAAGTTCGTAGTGAAGACGGACAACGTGGCAACGAGCTACTTTCTGATGCAGAAGAAGCTCACCCCCAAGCAAGCAAGGTGGCAAGACTTTTTGGCCGAGTTCGACTTCGTCATGGAGTACAACCCAGGCAAGGCGAATTCCGTTGCCGATGCTCTTAGCCGCAAGAGTGCCGCCGCAAGCATCAGCCAGCCCATGTTTCCTTTGAAGGAGCGGATCGTTGAAGGCCTTGGCCATGACCCCTTCGCCAAAACCGTAGCGGAGTACATCGAGCAAGGCAAGACTCGATGGTTTTGGATGAAGGATGGGCTCATCATGACCAAGGGAGAGCGCGTGTTCGTGCCAAGGTGGGCCAACTTGAGGAAGGAGATCATGAAGGAGTGCCATGACTCCAAGTGGGCGGGCCATCCCGGCATCGAGAGAACACAAGCGCTCATCGAAGAAGCATACTTCTGGCCGCGTATGAGAGACGACGTGGAGATGTATGTGAAGACTTGTCTTGTGTGCCAACAAGACAAGATGGAGCAGAGAAGCCCGGCAGGCTTGCTAGAGCCCTTGCCCACACCTCAACGATCATGGGAGAGTGTAAGCATGGACTTCATCATCGGACTTCCCAAAGTCGATGGATGCGGTTGCATCATGGTTGTGGTGGACAGGTTCTCGAAGTATGGAGTGTTCGTTCCCGGCCCAAAAGACATGACGGCGGAGGATGCGGCACGTCTTTTCTTCAAGAACGTGGTCAAGTATTGGGGCGTTCCTATCAACATCGTGAGCGACAGAGATGGGCGCTTCACGGGCAGATTTTGGCGAGAGTTGTTCAAGATCATGGGCTCAGACTTGAACTTCTCGACGGCATTTCATCCTCAAAGCGAAGGACAGACGGAGCGGGTGAATGCCTTGTTGGAAGTGTACTTGCGCCACTACGTAAGTGCAAACCAACGAGACTGGGTGAAGTTGATGGATACGGCACAATTCTCCTACAACTTGCACCGCAGCGAGTCGACCAACACGAGTCCATTTGAGTTGGCGACGGGGCAGCAACCTTTGACACCTACGACGGTGGCAACGGGATATAGAGGCAACAGTCCGGCGGCCTACAAGTTCGCTAAAGGCTGGCACGAGAAGATGGAGATGGCCAAGTCTTACTTAGCCCGCACTAGTAAGAAGATGAAGAAATGGGCGGACAAGAAGAGGCGGCACTTGGAATTCGAAGAGGGAGACATGGTGATGATCAAGTTCTACCCTCATCGCTTCAAGCATCTCAAGAACGTGCACAAGGGACTGCTTCGCCGCTATGAAGGGCCATTCCCCATCGTGAAGAGGATTGGCGCGGTGGCATACAAGGTTGAGTTGCCGACGCACTTGGAGATCCATCCGGTCTTTCATGTGAGCCAACTCAAGCCTTTCCACGAAGACAAGGATGATGAGCAACGAAGAGAGTCGCAGCGCGCTCCAACACTCATCACCAAGACACACGACCATGAAGTTGAAGAAGTCATGGCGCGTCGTGTCATTCCTCGTCGTGGCGTACATCCAAGCTTTGTGGAGTACTTGGTCAAGTGGCGCAACCTTCCGGAAAGTGAAGCAACTTGGGAGAAAGAGCTCACGCTTTGGAAGAACAAGGACTTGATCGAGGCATTCCATCAAGAGGACGCGACGAGGGCGTCGCGAGCATAGGTGGGGGAGGATGTCACATGTGGCCGATGACATGGCGCCAACAAGGTGACAACAAGGCTGCACATGTGTCATGCATGGAAGACTAGTAGCATAGAGATGCTCCTAGGATTCTCCACCTTAATAGAGAGCTTAATGGTGCACTTATTAGCTACATTATGGTAGTATTTATAGAGTGCATTATGGGGGGACTTTATGGGGTGTATTGATGTAGTAGAGAGACATTATGAGGGGCATTGATGCCTTGTATGAGGAGAGGCCTATATAAGGAGCCATCTCCCTCACTTGTAACTCATTCCATCATTTTTGAGAGTAATACACACTAGAGAGTTCTCCCAATCCTTTGTCCTTGTTCTTGTTCTTTGCTTTCAAGTGAGTTGAGAGAAAGGCTGCCTAGCGCTCTAACGGATTTGAGAGCTAGGGCCGCACGATCGAGAGTAAGGTCGTGACAGGACCATCGGACTGAAATCTGTAGAGGATAATTAGCCAAGGATTTTCTACAAAATTTCGTATTTTTTTGGTCTTTGATTCCTTTGAAGGATTTGGCGGCAATAGAAAAAAATCCCATGGGCTACGGATAATATGTACGGACCCGAATGGATGGGCTGGGCCTTCACAATAAATAAACTGAAAATCCGGCACCGAATACCGATGCTGACCTGCGGGTGTCACGAGAAAGCTAAAAGTGACCATTTTCGGTTGACGTGTTTCTCTCAAAACGCGCCACGTTGGTTCCTCTGCCGTTATACACAACTAACTGACGGACAACACCTCGTCTGAATCGGCAACACAACTACTGCTTTTGGAAACAAAGAAAAAAGCATCACCTGCATCGCCCCGTTCTTTCACAGTGAAAGCTCCTGAAATGAATCACTCGGCCGGAAAAACAGTTCTCCGTTGATGAACGAATCGGCGTCGAGCCTGGAGAACGGCCTGCTGCCGTTCGATGTCTGCGTTAAAATCGCTTCCTACCTTCCGGTAATTGTTTCTCCATCCCTCTCTTTCTTGTTCTCCGTAAGTTTGACGCCATCTTGAGAGGATTCTTTTTTGTTTTTTTTCCGGTGGCGGAAGGTTCTGGACGTCTGCGTTCTAAGCAGGTGCTCTCGCTACTGGAGGGAACTTTGCAGCTCCGATTCCATCTGGGAATCGCTCGCCCGCCGGAGATGGCCCTCCGCCGCTTTCCCCCGAGATTCCTCTTCTTTGGTAACCGAATGATTGGTTCTTCTTGTTTGTTTCCCCGTACGGTGTCTTCTCCGGCCGGGTTTCTGATTTTTGGGGATCGGAATTTCTTTTTTTGTAGAGGTGGAGGGAGGTTTACGCCGGGAAGCACAGGGAGATGGCCAGAAGAGCTGGCGCGGTGGTCGGATTCGTGAATCAAAGCTGTGGGGCTGAATCAATGGAAGTTGGGGATTACGTTGAGGCAATTGGGGAATTGAGCTCGTTGGAGTTTGCATTTGCAGACGTTCGAATGTTCCTCTTCAAGCCGCACCTGTCCGTCCTTCTTAACTTGGTTGCATTGCATTACTCCATCTCCTGCCTCCAACTCCCGGTAAAATAACAAAATCAGATTCCCCTGGTTTTGATTTGAACTTTAGTAGCTAAGCCGCGCTTTGAATAGGTTTGTTAGATCGAAAATCCGTGTGTATCAACGCAATAGTGTGTGGTAAGTTCGGTTTCAATTGCAGCTGTGGAGTTGCTGTGCAGATAGTTGTGTTTAAAGAGCGATTTGAGTGTGATTTGGGTAAGCTTTTACGGTGTCATTCCAGGCATGGGAAGTTGTGGAAGCACTGAAGGGCTGCTGGATCTCCGAGCGGCAAGTGTGTGTAAAATGGTGGAAGCTCGGGAGATGGTTCTATGGATTCAGGATGATGGACGAGACTCATTCTCGCCGCCTCACTCTTGCAGATCTCCCTACCAAGAAGGGTATGGAGGTTCTAGGTGTTAGAAACGGAACAACAACAAGATGAGGATACCGAATCTGGAGCTGAGTCGCGGACTAGGTCGCTTTCTTTAAGACGTTCGCGACACTGCCCTCGATGCGCACGGCAGACTATCAACCGGTCGTCTCCAGGATAAAACAGCTCCTCTGTGTACTCGCGGTTTTGTGCGAAAACCGGAGCTCTCTGAACACTCTCTCTATTGTGTTTATGCTCGTTGTAGTGTGTTTAGAGGGGCTGGGGAGGCGGCTATTTATAGGAGCCGAACCCCTAGGAATATACCCTCTTGCTTGGGGAATAAGTCGGATTAATTAAGGAAGATAATTACTTCCTTAATTAAAACCGTCGGTTAGGATAAATCCTGCGGAGATGAGTAACCGATTAATAATTAATTTCGTTCGGAATTTCTCCAAAACATATGTATATAGTCTCAAGTGATCCATCCATCCGACCGACCGGTCGGACGGCGTGCGCGTGTGTGTGGTAGTCAGTTAGGTCCTCCCTCTCCCACAAAAGTGGGTCACCCCAAGGGGCATGCCCTTAGGAGAGAGGCTCCTATCTTTATACTCATTTCACCAAGTAAAACTACCAATGTGGTAGTTTTTCCACTTGAGACTCTATAGCTTTCAAAGCTATTCATACACATTTCCAACACTAGGGGTCCTCCACAGAGGTGCCATTCACGAGGTTTTACGCGTCGTGATCTGTGTCTCCTCCGGCGGTACTTCTTCCAGTCCATGGCCTCATTCAAGCACACAAAGTGATTGAACGCTAGAATCGCGGTGGCCATGGCTGCTGCTGGATGGTTGGCTCGAATTCTGCTCTATACTTCACCATGTTGCACTTTTGCAGTTCCAAACTCTTAATCTGTACATGGCAACAGACAGCTAAAGATGGTGTGTATTTTCTAAATCACAATGCACAACCACCTCTTATTCTCTTCAATGGCACCATCGCCTCTCTATTCAGATTCACTGTGCAACTCGAAATTACATTTTGTTCCCCAATAAGTTGAACTCATTCTGATGAGGCCACTCCAAGAAAGTGAGCTAAGCTGGGATACTTAGGTTCCCATGAGAGCACCTGGCGCGTTCTCGAGCTGTTTAGTTTCTTACCAAGAGGGTCACTTGTTCCTGCATATCATTAACAGGATATAACCTCGTGTTGAATCAGTAATTAGGGAGGGTACCCTTTCAACAGATAGAAAGGAGAGATGCAATGCATACCAGTAAAGCCCTCAAATTTCTTGCTAAACTTGCCACTTTTAGCAACCAGGTCCATCACTTCCTGCCTGCATGAATTGGAAAGAGGAAGAAGTGAAAACATGCTCCCCCTTAACTTGGAAAACACCCTCATCTAGTCATCTTTCAAAAGTGCAGAATGTGTCTTAGGCTCTTAGCCATTGGTTTGCTGATCTGAGCAAACCGATAGCTGAGACTGGCAGACGTTTTAGTCAGCACATTGTGAAAGAAAAGGGTTTACTGCGCCCTAACTTTAATAGGTGAAAACGAACAAAAGCCATATGATGTACCTAGAAAGTGGATGGTTGTCGCAGCCTAAGAAAATCTGGCTACGGAGTTTCTTTTTCAGGATTGTTATGCAGAGAGATGCAGCATCCTGTCAATAAAAAGAACCCACCAAAATTGCTACTTCATGAAAGGCTCTATATTCTACAGAACAATGGATAATCAGAAACTTGAAAAACCTTCTACAAATGCAATGAGTTTGTTTTCACCTCGTAGTGTATGAGATTCAGGATGTGATCCGGCCGAACGTCGACAGTTCCTTTCTCTAACCAGTAAGTATGTGCACCTCTATCTGATTTGTAAATCCCAATTAAGGTCAACAATCAAAAGCACACAAAACAACATGCCTAACTTCTCTTTTGAAAGAGGCAAAACAACTAAAAATGTTCATCAGGTCTTGGAGAGAAAGGATATATAGAGTCCAGCCAATCTAACCACGCAACCCTCACGTTCCAGAACTACTTGTTCTGCTTTGAGAAGGACGTCTGTTCGAGGGCTTCTCCCAATTGGCACAACTGGAGAGTCCTGATCAAATCATACTTCAAAACTCAGGGTACCAAGGATATATAACTTACAATGGGAAACCATGTTCTTAGAGTGGCGAAGACAGAAATAGCCGCTTATTCATCTTCACCTCATTGCAGTCTCCATTGTCGTAGCAGTCATAAGGCGCAGAGCTCGAAGTGAACAGGAAACAGCCTTCACCATTCCATCTCAATGCAGCTTCCCTGGATTTAAGCCATATGCGTAGACGTTTACATAACCATAGTCTCCATAGATTTAAGAAAGAAAGAAAGAAAGAAAGAAAGAAAGAAAGAAAGAAAGAAAGAAAGAAAGAAAGAAAGAACTTCATCCGTGATTATCTATTATCACCTGACATCGGCAGGATAGTCAACAGATCGAGAGGGAGGAGCACAGAAGATTACATAAGGGTACTGTTGATTCGATTGAGTCCCTCTTACAGAAGGGTTGATCCCCAATTTGATCAATTCCTCATGGTGATCCTCAGTCATCGTTTGTCCCACAATTTGACTACCAGGGTTTTCCTGCTCTCTCAATCACACAAACAAATAAGAAAAGCGATGAAATTCAAATCTCAATTGAGAAATCCCGACAGCCGACAAGAAGGAAAGCATCACCGTATTCATTACCTCCCGCCATTTCTCCGCCACTAAGCGACCCAATACTCCGGAGCCGACTATGAGCAGATCAGTCTCTCCGACGAGACCAGAAGAAGCGGTCTTCATCGCTTCGTCGCCTTTGGCACCTAAACAAAAATTGGAGGCAAATCAATTGACTTCCGCAGAAAATAAAGACAACCCATGTCTGCAAACTGAATTTAACGAGAAGGGGAAGAGGGAAGAATTGATTTTTTCTCTTCCAGATACCAATGGCGGACGAAGCAGAGACTTGGAGGGGAGGCGACGCCATGGAAATGGAAGACCACGGCGGTAGTGAGAAACGCGACGGGAGCTTGACAACTGGGTGGTGCGGCGAGCGGAATGGCGGCAGGGGAGGGAAGATTGGTGAGAGTGAGCGACTACGCCAAGAAATGGTTGATTCCATATGGTAGAGGGATTAGGTGGGCATTAAAAAGACGGATGACGATGGAGTAGAAGAAAAAGGAAAGTAAGAATTTGTTTCTTTGTTTGTTTCGGAGCATGGAATCGAACATTGGCCAATCGATGAGGTAGACGTGGCGAGGATGACTCCTGGTAAAGAGGATAATGACTGCGGCGGTGCCGCCGTGCCGGGTTCTCACCGGCCGTCCACTATATGCGGCGCTGTTTGTGTTGCTATTGGTTGTCATCCATTAACTTGGAATGAGTTGTTGGGAAAGGTGTATGATAAGGTTGTCAAACTTTTATTGGATCTCTGGTTGGATTCAATCCGACTTAAATTGGGATTCAAAACAATTTTCAGAAAGTTCGTGGTCTAACCATTAAAGAGAGAGAAGAAGAGAGGGTAAAGAGAGGAAGAGGAACGACGGAAGGGAGATGGTGAGTGGGTCATGGAGGTTGGATAGATTTATTTTGTGAAAATAAGTTTTTAATATATAGGGCAAAAGCGTAATGCCTCAATCCTATCTCGTAGTAAAATCGGGTATCGTCTCTCAGGGACTGGTACAACCTTATATCTATTCCTCCGTGGGTCCTTACAGGAATGTGAGAATCTGATTGAAGTGTTGAATGAATATGAGGAACTTAGTGGTCAAAGGGTTAATTTGGACAAATCAGCGGTATGCTTTAGTAAAAACATTACTGTGCCCGACCAGGAGTTTCTGGCCCAGATCTTGGGGGTGGGAGCGGTTGGCGTCCATGACAAATACCTGGGGCTACCTTCGCTGATAGCCCGATCTAAAATGACTACTTTTCGGTACCTCGAAGATAAGCTCCTTGAGCGTCTGCAGGGGTGGAAGCAAAGGACATTGTCGTGGGCTGCCAAGGAGGTCTTGATTAAATCATAGCCTTGGCGCTTCCGTTGCATGTCATGTCCTGTTTCAAACTTCATCTTTCCCTGTGTAGGATCTTGGATAAACACGTGGCACGGTTTTGGTGGAATGTGGTGGAGGGCCATTCTAAAATTCGTTGGTTATCGTGGAGGAATATGTGCAGAAGCAAGCATGATGGGGGTATGGGGTTCCGTCGTTTTGAGCTGTTCAATCAGGCCTTGTTAGCCAAGATTGGGTGGCGGATCATTACTGAACCCCACTCCCTGCTAGCTCAAGTCTATAAGGGTAAGTACTTCCCTACTGGTACGTTCCTTACGGCTACTGCACGATCCCGGCCATCCTGGGGCTGGCAGAGTATTTCTGTATGGCAGGCAATTGCTGAAGCAAGGGTTAAGATGGCAAATAGGTAATGGGCGAACGACGTCCCTACTCTCTTCTAATTGGGTTCCTCAACTCCACCCCTCTCCCCCGAGGTACAATCCCTTGGTGCTCCCGGATGGGAACGACCTTCGAGTGGAGGAAGTTCTTTGTCCTGGGGATGGACGTTGGAATGATTCAAAGCTCAGTCAATGGTTTGACCCCCCTACCCGTCGTGCCATAAAAACTATCCCGCTCCCGAGGCAATGCATAGAGGATCGTCTTGTCTGGCATGACACAGCGGATGGAATTTTCTCGGTTAAATCGGCCTATCACCTTGCAGTCCGGTTGGATCAGCAAAACAGTCGTTGTAAAGCTACAATTAGTTGGATGGATAGACCCAGCTGGATCCGGGTATGGGAGGCCAACATACCGCCCAAGCTTAAGGTGTTTGTTTGGCAAATCTTAAATCAGATTCTCCCCACAACTAAGGCGCTTAGAAGTAAGGATGTGGTGGTCCATCCTAGGTGCCCTATCTGTTGGGAGGTAGAGGAAACCATGGAGCATTTATTTCTGGATTGCCCGGTGGCTAGGGCGCTGTGGGATTATTCTGGGCTGGAATACCTGGGTCAGGGGCTGCCTCGCCATACTTTTCCGCTTTTTCTTAAACGACTGTTAGCTCTCATTTGCCAACCGGAGTTGGTTATGACAGTGACTGCTGTCCTCTGGAGGATCTGGCGCTCTCGGAATTGGGTTGTTTTTGAAGGCAAGCAATTCGGGATCCCGGCCTTGCTGCACCAGTTAAATCAGCAGGTGGATGAGTGGTTGCGTGTGCCGGTTGAGAAGGAAAACCCTGCCTATGCTCCTAGGACTCCTCTTATTACCACAGGGAGTGGTAGTCAAATTATATGCAGTTGGGATGGGGCGACACGGCAGGGATCCCATTCGGCGGGAGGAGTGGTGATAATGACTCCATCGAGAGATATTCTAGTGGCCCGCGGGTTCCAAGTCCAGTGCATTGATGACCCGATAACGGTGGAGGTCCTGGCGCTGCGTGAGGCTTTATATTGGTGTCTGGAGAATGGGTTCTATGAGGTTTGCTTTGAAGGCGACGCCAAGGTTGTCATCGATAAGATCATTCGGGCGGAGATTGGTGACATTCGGATGGGGGCGGTATTGGAAGAGGTGGTATCTTGTTTTGCCTTGCATCCGGGGTTTAGTGTTCGATTTATAGGTCGTCGTAACAATAGGGTAGCCCATTTGGTGGCTAGAAAGGCCCTTTCATTGTCTCCGACTGCGAGTCGTTTGTTTGATTTTCAGACCTGGCTGTTTTCCAGGGTGTAACTATCTTTTTGGTGATTCAATCTATATGAATATCTTTTGTAAAAAAAAAAAGACTGGTACAACCTTATATTTCATCAACTTTATAGAGCAAAATACAGGTGAAAATGTTATAGCGATGAAACTGATATCTAATGATTAAACAAAATAAGCAACTAAATTGTCGGGTTGAAATCAATGGAGAAAGCTCTGGGAGAAACACCGGGACTCACTACCTATCATATCCAAATTAATTCGGGTTAATTGCATGATTGGTCATTGAAATTACAAAAAACGTTCATGTTTGGTCACTGGAAATATTTAAATCCAATCTTGGTCACTCAAATTAGTTAAATGGTTCAAGTTTGGTCACTCTCCGTCCATTTTCGTTAATTCTAGCTTACGTGGCAGTCAACTTTCCTAGTTGACCGTTAAATATGTGACGTGGCAATTAAAAAATTATTAAAAATAAAAAGATAAACTTTTATATTTTCCACCTCATTATTACATTCATTGAAATAAAAAAAATATTAAAAAAATTAATTTCTTTTCTACACACCCCAAAACCTATAAAAAAAATCTGCAAGCGCGCCGACTCGTCGCTCCACTCCGCCTTCGACCTCAACGCCTGCTTCGATTCCGGGCCGGCGTTCCCTCGCTGCTGGTCTCTGGAGTTCGAGAGAGGATCGATTCCATGCTCCGCTTTGCCATCGCCTGGAGCGACGGAACCCTCTCCGTGATCCGCACCCGGAACCCTCTAACCAATAGACGATTATACCCCCCGATGCCCACCTGACCAACTCAATTGGCCGCCCTTCCCCTGTCTTCACCCCCTTCCCATAAACACAACCCTCCACCGCCTGCAAATCCAAAAGGAAAAAACGATCAGCGACTCTTGCAGTGTCAGGAATTACAGCGGCAGCGAGGTGGGCGGCGTGGGTAGTCTCCATCGTTCTTCCTGCTCGACCAAACCATCGCCCTAAATTCCATCACCCTTGTTCAACGAAAATTTTTAATTCCATCACCCTCGCTCTGCTGCTCCCCCGTCGCTGCCGCCTTGGCTCAGTCGGTGCCGGATTTCTCAGCGGCGCTGAGGAAGGAAAACAACATCTGCCTTCACCGACCCTCGCTCTGCAGCTCTTCCTCTGCTCTGCCCGTCGCTGACGTCTAGGCTCAGTTCGTTGCTTGATTTATCAGCGGCGCTTAGGGAGGAGAATAGGAATTCCTCGACCTAGTGATTCCTCGCGGCGGCTCGTCGAACTTTGGTTTTGGTTTCGGTGCGAACGTCGAGCGACTTGATCCTGGTGGAGAGAATTTCAGTGAGGCACTGGCCCCCGAAGCGGTTGAAGATATCAAAGAAGTCAGCAAGGATATCAAATTTCCATTCTCTAGAGATACCATCAATCCTGCAATCAGTAATAGTCAAGTCAGGCCATTCAAACTCAAGGAGGGAAGTGAGATTTGGGAGATCCGAATTACACATTATCGAGAGGCCAATTTCTTAATTGATTTTTGGGATTATGGGTCATTCTTTATCCCTGAGCACTTTTTTTTTTTACAAAAGATAATCATATATTGATCCGAAAGATAGATAATTACATCCTGGAATTTAGTCAGGTCAGGAAATCAAAAGAACGACTCATAGTCGGGTACAAAGAGAGGGCTTTACGAGCCACCAGATGGGCTACCCTATTACTACTCCGACCTACAAATCGGACACTAAAACCTGAAGAGCTGTGAAAATAATGTCAATTATTTTGGTCTACGTTGGCGTTTGTATGATTTTGTTGTTCGTTCAATCAACTAATTTGACATAATGGTGGCGTGCATCCATCTTCCCAAAAGATGGTGTCACTTTAGAACTATGATATGTGACGTCTCATCATCTTGGATGGTATACCAAGTTGATACTTCATACTCACCATGAAATATGTGAGATTAGAGTTATCCAAGAAATAAAATAGTTACCGTTTTATTGGATGTTCTTAAAGATACAGTAATATTATGCACAAAATCGCTACTGTTCTGCGATACTTGTCTCCTGGTACACTTCATTCATTGTATTGCGTACAAAAGTTTGATCCGGTAGTAATACCAATGATCTTGAATCTAGACAGAGGCGGAGCCAGGGGGTCCGGGCAGTGTCCCGTGACACTGGTAATTTGGGGTGAAAAAAAATATACCCCATGTAGAATTTAAGAATTGAACCCATGACCTCTAGGTTGATTAAAAGTGTTTTACCACTACACTACAAGTTGATTCTTACTTAAAAGATGACACATGTATTTTTGAATAAATAGTTTAGATATTAGTTTTAATTAAATTAATTAATTATTGGCAAAATACACTTTCATAGCCATAACTTTACACTTTGTGACAAATATAGCCAAGTTTTGAAAAATACACAGAAATAGCCATTCCGTCCATTAATATAACAGAAATGTAACGGCGACTGACTGGACAAACGATCGTCTGTGGCTATGACTCTCTTCGTTTACGTGGCATGCCATGGTGGATTTTAAATTAATTATATTTATTAAAAAACCAACTTTACCAAATTGTATCGTGGGTCCTCTTTTCATCTGCCCCTCCCAATTCTTCTCTTTTCCTCTTCCCAGAAATCCCACCTCCATTCCACCTAATTTCAAAATCGCTCCCCACCTCTCGTCTCCTGCTCCCGTCCCTTCCAAATCGCTCTCACTTTCATCTCGCCTGCACTCTCTCTGGTTGTAGATCCTGGGTTCGTAGAGGAAGGCAAGATAGATAGATCTAGAAGAAGACGAATGGATTCGATCTCAGCACCTCCTTCACAGTTGCATCCCCTACTAGCGAGCGCTCGACGACGAACTTAGCAGAGCAAAATCGACATCCCAACGGGGAAAAGGCAGAAGAGGAGACCTACTGATTCCACCATCCATCGATTATAGATTTGTGTTCTTTATTGGGTATCTCGTCGAGAAAAGGGAAGAGGAATATAATAGGATATGGTTGGATCAGGTTCGTTGCTTCGTCGCTGCGGATAGTGGGTTGGCTATGATTCTGGTCGGCGGCGATGAATCTGTAGGGTGCGGCGGGGATTGACAGCGGCACCGCTGCTGCGTGCCTTTCTTCTTCCTACTTCTTTGCTTTTATCATTTTTTTGTTTTTTGTTTTTTCCTTTTATTGAAAAAAGAAGGGATCGGTCAATAAGAGTTGACGTGCGCAATTTTTTTTTTAATAAAAAACATTTTTAAATTTTAATTTGACATGGCATGATATGTGGCAAGCCACGTCGACTAAGAGTTGACGTGGAAGCTGACGAGGCGCCATCTCAGCTTGTTGTTGACGGACGTTAACGGCATCTCTGATAGACCGATAATTACACATGTTTTCACCCCTTTTCTGGAGCCGTTTGAGATGTGGATTCTAGTGTTTTGAGCCGATTTCACGCTAGGGTGTGTGTTTATGTCATATTTCAGGACCCGGCGTTGGAATCGAGGCGGAGAAACGAGTTCTGGGTCGAAAGGAGCGAAGTTGGGACGAAGGAGGCTGATGGATGAAAATACCCGGCCATGACCAAGAATACCCGGCCGAGTATTATACCTTTGGGCGCACCGCGAGAAACAGAAGGGGGCCCGGGCAAATGGCTTAAATCCCCGGTCGGGGATTATTGGAAGAGACCGGGGATTTGCCCTTCAATGAAACGGTGCGCTTCAATTATACCCGGTCGAAACCCAAAATACCCGACCGGGTATCGCGATCTGGCAGCTGATAAAAGGAAAAGAAGGCCAACTTTCAAGGGTTCCGAGTTTTTGAGAGAGAAAGCGATTCCTAGAGAGAGAGAGCGACGAACCAGAGTTCCCAAGTGCCATAGCTTGATCTTCATCACCATTGGAGCCCGGCTTGAGCTTGCAGAAGTGCCGATTAAACGTCCAGGAGCAGAAATCCGTCTTCACAGTATGATTTCCGCGTCTGAATCTGCTTTTGCTTCTTTCTCTATGGAGTAGTTCCCCCATTCATCTGGGTATGAGGGAACCCTAGATTTGTATGCTAGGTCTGATTGTATGAACCCAAGTACAGAGTTTGTGAATTGATTATATTCGATTGAGGTTTGAATGATTGAATGACTTGAATCCTGATCAAATTCCTGTTGTTTCTGCTTTGACCTAGAATGAGAATATCTGCCTAGGTTGATAGAGTATCCTTAATCGAAGGTGGCGAATTGGTGACTTTAGTCGAGGAGCCAATTCGCTATTCTGTACCGAATTCATTTCGGTAGTGGAGGTTTGGTTCACTAGGGCCTCAATCTGTTTACACCGGTTGAGGTTAGTCGCCCGCTAGAGACTCAGATTGAGAGGGTCTGAAGACCTTTAGTCAAGACTTCAAACTATTTAAGAACCTCCCGCAGTATAACTTTCATGAAAACTGAACTTGATAAATTGCAATCCGACTTAACTACAGTCTAGGGGGAACCATATCCGGGTGACCTCTCTTGACTTGACAACAACCGTTTACTTGCTTTGTGTTTTTGTTTGCTTGAATCTGCACTAAAAGTTCATTGCTAGATAACGAGAATTCACCGAGTAGTCATCACATCTAGGACCCGGGTTGACAATAAAACCCAAACCCGCTATACTACGCTTTAGGAAGTGGTTACACTTGGCCATTTTCTAGAGTGACAGTAGGAGTGAGTCAATCTCCAACTCCGTCAATTTTTCTAATGAAAATGGCTATAATTGTCAAGGTAGTTTCAAATTTGTGGCTATTTCTGTGTATTTTTCAAAACTTGGCTATATTTTTCACAAAGTGTAAAATTATGGCTATGGAAGTGAATTTTGCCTTAATTATTAGATTATGAAAACAGGACACGAGTATTTTTGAATTCTGACTACGCCACTGAATCTAGAGTTCTCATATTCAAATCCCTTAACTAGAACTTAATAAAAAAATCAAACTTACATTACCCTCCAAATAAAAAAGGTTACGCACAAATCATGGCAGTTAGAGGTGGCAAGTTGATAGATCCATGGATTCGTGGATTTGATTGGTGGATTCATGGATCAAATGGATGGGATCCAATGGATTGGTGGATTCATGGACTGGATCAAGTGGATTGGTGGATTATCCATGAATCTAAATGACATCCTCAACCTTGGACCAATATGTAAAATGTTAAAAGTTTAGGTACTAAAATGTCGTAATGAAAATTTTCAGGTACCAAAATGTGATTTTCCAATGATATTTTTCATATAAAAAATAAATTTTAGGTACCAAAATGTAAAATATAAAAAGTGTAGGTACCAAACCGTAATTTGCCATTTGGATCCATGGATTGATCCATGAATCCACCAATCCAATTAAATTTGAATTAAATGGATTGGATTAAGTGGATATTTTTAATGGATTTGTGAATTTGATTGAGAATTGCCACCTCTAATGGCAGCTAATAATGCAACTGTTACGTGCCCTTTTCGGAGAATAGAATTTAGGGTGAAAGATCGGGATATGAAGAATAAGAATGGAGGAAGGATAGATAGATTGGAAGAAGAGAAGTGTTCTCCTTAAAGGCGAGAACGGAACCCCTAAGCTTTTTCGAGGAAAGCCAACCTCCTAAATTAACACGTAGGTGTGTAAAACCCTTTTCTTGATGATCCTTGATTGATTATTGACTCTACCCATCTGCTACCTTAAATACATAATAATTAAACTACTAATCCTACAAACTAGAAAAACCAAACGAAAACACCTCACTAAGTCCCCCAATTCTAGGCCATCACTAACCCCACTAATCACATCCTGATCATCTCTAACAACCCATAATTAATTAACAATTATAAATTAATAAATGCACATGACATTCCTCTCCGCTACGAAAGATTCTTGCCCTCAAGAATCAGCCGGCACTTGATAACGGTGAGTATTCGTCGCCGCCTCCCGTTGTGGGGTTTCCCCCCTTCTTTCTGAACTTCCAATTGACGGTGCTCCTCAATTTGCTGTACCAATCGACAGCAGCATCATCTTTCACTGTAACACCCCAAGAAACAGAAAGTATAGTTGATCCAACGTTGGAAATATTATGGCCTTTGGACAAATGGTAGCTGCCCCAATGAGAAGTCACCAGGGAAATATGATTTGCTGGGTTCTTTCGTTCATGATCATGGAGCTCTGCAATAGCTCTTTGCCCTTCTGTCTCTTTTATTTTTTGGAAAATGATCTCCCCAGTAGCGTTGCTGTTACCGGCTGCATGCTCTTCATGTAGCTCCTTTTGGTTTTCGTGAGATTGAGAACGAACCACCGTAGAATGACCATTGCAATTGGCAGTTGAAATCTTACTCTCGGAGGCTGCCACTTCATGAAGCTCTTTCACGTCACTGAGAGAAGCAAGAAGGAGGGCAGTCATTCTTTCTTCAAACCTGCGGAGATCGTCCTTTAGTCTTAGCAACCCCTCCTTGAAACGATCTTGTTGCGCAGCTTTGGAAGCCATGGCTCTGATACCAAATGTTACGTGCCCTTTTCGGAGAATAGAATTTAGGGTGAAAGATCGGGATATGAAGAATAAGAATGGAGGAAGGATAGATAGATTGGAAGAAGAGAAGTGTTCTCCTTAAAGGCGAGAACGGAACCCCTAAGCTTTTTCGAGGAAAGCCAACCTCCCAAATTAACACGTAGGTGTGTAAAACCCTTTTCTTGATGATCCTTGATTGATTATTGCCTCTACCCATCTGCTACCTTAAATACATAATAATTAAACTACTAATCCTACAAACTAGAAAAACCAAAAGAAAACACCTAACTAAGTCCCCCAATTCTAGGCCATCACTAACCCCACTAATCACATCCTGATCATCTCTAACAACCCATAATTAATTAACAATTATAAATTAATAAATGCACATGACAGCAACCAAAATTTTTCTCAAGCAATGCTTAATATTATTCACAAATCATGCAACATAATCTGCAACCAATTTTATTTTATTTTTTGGGCTAAGCTTTTATTCACTTTTTAATGTGAGCCCTAGATGAAGCAGGGTTAAACGTCGTTCAATCATATTCTCAGCAGTAACAAGTATCTTTACCGTTACCGATTTCGTAGTTCACGCGCTGACATTTCTTATCCACAAGAAGGAAGCTGTGGGCCTGTGTGTGGGTTCGGCATCGCCACAGAATCAGCAAGACTTATCCGGGCCATATGATAATTTGCATGGCCCAAAATTTGGGCTGGACCTGACTCAGCCTTGCCGCAACGTCCACGTGTCCGTACCCAGTACAATTTATTGTTTTATTACCAATTTCATCATTTGCTGAGCTGCCTGCGTTTGGGCCATGACTCAGCCTATGGCCCACTTGCCTTTTATATCCATCAGTAATAATTATCCGTTCTAATGGATAATTAGGCCCACATCACATAGTTTGTTTTTAGTACCGTTCAGGCTGAGCTCTTAATTAAATAATAATTAGTGCGAAACTCTTATATTTGACATTTCTGCGGTTAAAATTTGGCAGACTCAGGAGACGACACGTGGACTACTTGGCACTTTATTTTGGTGTATTTCAACAAGCTCTATATAACCGCCAGCCAGCCATTATCTGCCGTCGCCACAAATTTCTCCGCCGTTCCCACTCCCTCTTCTCTCTTATTAATCCAATTATCCAATTCGCATAATTAATTTCACACTCTATCCAATCAATTTCCGTTCTTTTCTCCGATTTTCCTTCGCCATTAGATCCGATCCTAAATCCTAATCCTCTCCTCCTCCCTAGCTTCCAGGCTAATTCGTCTCCTTTAATACCTTCGCCGATCGCCGGATTGGGAGATCCCCAGTTGATTCTTTTCACCCGATTCCTTTTTTCTTTCTTCTGGGTTTCTGAAAGTTTCGTTTTTTTTCCCTTCTTCCGCGGGTTTACGTTTTCAAAAGCTTCGGATTCGGGCTAAAATGGAGGTTTCGGTGATCGGCACTTCTCAGGCAACGTTCTGCAGCGGCGGGGAGTTGGCGCCTTGCAGCAGGGAGCTGAGATTTTGCGTCCCCAAGAGAAACGGCGACGCTCTCTACTTCCTAGATCGAAATTCCCGCCGGAGGTGCAGAAACTCCCGGCTGCAGCTCACCCTCACCGCCGCCGCCCAATCCGAACCCGTCCGGTCCGATAGCTTTCCCGTTCAGGAGCCCGCCACAACACCCGATTCCGTAAGCAACCCAATCAGAATTTCCTCTGTGATTCCTGAATGGGGGTGTTTTCGGTCTTCATGGATCATGCTCTGAAAGTGTTTGATAATTTGCTGCAATGGGGTTTGATTCGTTTTGTTCTTGTGTTGTTTTTTGGTGTTATCCGCAGATTAATAAAGTAAAGTTATTCGTTGGGTTGCCGTTGGATGTGGTCTCTGATTGCCACAGTGTAAACCATGCGAGAGCCATAACGGCGGGTCTCAAAGCTCTGAAATTGTTAGGGGTAGAAGGTGTGGAGGTTCCGGTATGGTGGGGGTTGGTGGAGAAGGAAGAAATGGGGGAGTATGAATGGTCAGGGTACCTTGCCGTTGCAGAAATGGTACAAACAGTAGGGTTGAAGCTTCATGTCTCGCTCTGTTTCCATGGCGAAAGACAGCATAAGGTCTCGCTTCCTCGATGGGTTTTGAAGATTGGCGAATCGAATCACAGCATCTTTTATACTGATCGATCAGGGGAAGCTTATGAAGACTGCTTGTCGTTGGCTGTGGATGACCTTCCTGTTCTCGATGGCAGGACCCCTCTTCAAGTTTACAAGGGTTTCTGTGAGAGCTTCAGGTCCACATTTGCCCAGTTCTTGGGTTCCACTATAACGGTAAATGGGATTTTGTGTTTCCTTAGATGAAATTGATTTCACTTGGATTGATTGGACTCGTTTAGGGTTCTTTTGGGAACTAAGGTTGGTATAGTCCATGGATTTTGACAATTCATGTATTTCTTAGGCGTGATTTAGAAATGCGTCTCTTTTCAGAATATAGTATTTTGGTATGGAAGGTGATATTATATGGTGTTCTGCGCTGAGAATCTTAGGAGAAACCCAACGATTTCTAAAATACATGACCTCATCGATTCTAGAAATACATCTAGGGTTGAAGGAAAAGGTTTTGGAACCAAATTCAAACTATAAAGACATGTATTGCCAGAACTATGCATTCTCAAAATCACAAGGACTAGTCCCTGGTTTTCAAACAAGCCTGAGTTGCATTTTTGTATACATATGGACTGATTACACGACAATAACCTATTATTTTCCTTCAGCCTATAGAGGATGTTATATGTCTCACAAATTCAATGTAGTTGAATGGTTGAACGAGCTTTATAATCTATTGTTCCGCATCTGCCATCTCTTTTATTCATGGTGATATTTTGAATCTCTTCCAGGGAGTAACAATGGGGCTAGGACCAGATGGCGAGCTTCAATATCCATCTCACCACCAACCTTCCAACAACAACATCCCTGGAGTTGGAGAGTTCCAATGCTACGACGAAAACATGAAGGACCAGCTAAAGCAACACGCAGCTTCCCTCGACAATCCCTTGTGGGGGTTGGCAGGCCCACACGATGCCCCGACTTACAACCAGACCCCGGACTCCAGCCCCTTCTTCAACGAACTCTCCGGATCATGGCAATCCCCTTATGGCGACTTCTTCCTCTCGTGGTACTCCAACCAGCTGCTCTCCCATGGTGACAGCCTCCTCTCCATGGCCTCCGATGTCTTCACAAACACCGGCGTAACAACTCATGGCAGAGTCCCTCTGATGCACTCCTGGTTCAAAACCCGGTCCCGTGCACTCGAGAACACTGCTGGGTTCTACAGCACGGACGGGAAAGATGCATACGAAGCATTTGCCGAGATGTTTGCTCAGAACTCGTGCGGGATGATCATTCCCGGGATGGACTTGTCGGACGATGAGCAGCCCGACCAGTCAATGTCTAGCCCCGAGATGCTGCTTAAGCAGATTCAAGCGGCGTGCAAGAAGCATGGAGTTGGGGTTTCTGGGATGAACTCCGGTCTTCGTTTGAATGGGTTTGACCGGATTAGCAAGAACGTAGTGGGGGATGAGAATAACGTGGTTGATTTGTTTACTTACCAGCGGATGGGAGCAGAGTTCTTCTCGCCGGAGCATTTTCCGTCTTTCACCCAGTTTGCCCGGGGGCTGAATCAGCCTTTTGCTGGGCTGGATTCGGATGATCTTCCGACGGAAGAAACTCTTCCGGTGGAGGCTTCTGTCCCGTCGAATGCCGAGATGCAAACGGCCTAATGGTGAAGAGACTGACGTGCGCTAAAATATGTGTATATATATATATACGTTTCTGTTAGGCTGTAAGTTTGGCCGCTGCACCATTTTGATAATTATTTGTAACCAATTGTAACAAATGCGTGTGTTTGAGAGTCAGGAAATTGAGCATCAGCATACTAACTACTAAGGAGCTATTGAATGAACTTTGAAAGCAAATATAAAATAATTTAAGATCAACTCAAGATATCCCAGGATCATAAGTATTGATCAACGCCTCAAAAGAACCTTGCGTTCCTCTCGTCACAGTAATGTCGATGATTTGTACTTCTTCCCTCTACTCCAGTATTCAACTGCAAATACCACTCTCGAGTTCGAGCTAATCGAGATTCGTACTGCGCCTTTCATATCACAAATACCACTTTCGAGTTCGAGCTAGATAATTTAGTAAGACTGCATGGAAGAGTTTTGCTTGTGACACCAAGTATCCAAGAGTTATTCTCCTCTGTATTGCAGTTACCTCGGAGAAATTACAGAATGGAAAAGAGCAACAGCTTACACGAATGCTAAAATAAAGTACCGAAACGTCGGAAAACTCTCATGTACACAGACAGACCAGCAAACTATACATAACAACGCCTATTTTATTACAGTTCCAATAAATCTAATTAACCATCATCAACTCTCGAGTTTCACCTCATATGAGTTGAGGTCAAGATGCGGGCAAATCTCCGCAACCTAGCGGAGGCAGCGCCATTTCCGCGCCCCGCTACAATGTTTGTTCCCACTGGCGACAACTTGCTTGGTCGACTTGCACCAGGTGATCAAACCTTTCACCACCCAACTGCACAAGAAGAAATAGGGTTAGATTAGCGACGGAACAGAACAGAATCTAATGGCGAGCCTGGAGACGATCTCTATAGTGATGCATGACTTGAGTCCTTTCCATGCGTACGAAAATAGGGATAAATTAAACTTCGAATCCCTTATTTAAAAGAACTTAAACAGATAAACGATAACACCGCGTGTGTAAGTTGAAATATACCTCAATCAGTCAGCCATGTAGGCGTCTTTTCATTCGCAAGCTATCTTGGTGTCGAAGCTACTGAGACAAATCGCAAAAGCTTGGAACGCGGATATGGGATACCGGTAATCCATGGTGAACAAATCTTTTCCCACTTTCCCAAACTGCAGAATGATCTGCTCGTGTTCGGGTCCAGCCACTCCATTTTCGGGGGCAGCAACGAGCTGGAAGTTTTTCACTGATGCGACTGTCACTCGCCCATGGAAGTTCAAGCACCAACATTGTAGATGTTCGTGCCACCTTGGTGACTTGTTCTTCAGTACTAAACCCGCTTTCCTCGGACCAGGCGTGGGCCCCGAATCTCCTGTGAGATTTGATTTGGACCGGAGAAATGAGAAAGATGTGGAAGCATCAAGCTTGCGAATACCAAATTCAGTCTGTGTTGGAGCTATGCCGCCTGGTTCGACGGAAGAAGCAGGTATCCCATCCATAACACAGTGCATTCTTCGCGGACCTCTGCATAAATCATACAACGCAAAATTTCTGTTAACCAAAAGAAGTTCAGCATGAAGTCAAAATCCTCAAATCATGACTAGTTTAAGCAATAAGCCAGGTATATTCCAGTAAATTTAATCAATAGGTAAACGGCCTTTCGACCTCCACAAATTTGGTTGATTATGCTTGACCGAAACCAAAAGTTCCTAAAATCAACAACAGCTAATACCAAAACCAAAAACTGTGAAATTTGTTCTTGGTCTGGGTTAACCAAAAATCGTGAAATTTGATTTTGGTTTAACCAACAACCATTATCCCACCCCCCCAATCAAATGCCAAACTGATTGCAAACGCTTACCTAGAACCCAACATGTTCAATTCATATGAGATGTGAGCCACTGGATAGTTGCCAGCAGGGACTCTCGGGGAAACTTGTTTCAGACTTATTGGCCTAGTGGAACGACTTCTCACCAGCTTGGCCCCAGCATGCGGTGGAAGGCCGTCCAAGACTGTGAATCTGGTCCCCAGAAAATTTGATCTGATAGGAAAGGGAAAAAACAAAGACGAGAAGTCTATAAGACTCCCAACTAACAGAATCAACACAAGAACAATGAACTTCAATTAGGGATGAATATCACACCTGAGTTTGCCAACATATGTGCTGCTAGCCTTTGACATATCATCGGCATCAAGAGAGATGATGTAATCCGTGCAGGTGGCTCGCCTACTCTTGCGTGCAGCAAGTAGGAACTTCCCGTCATCGGCTAGTGCTGTAAAACCCAAAACAAATCACAACATATCCCTCCAAAAGGTTTCGCTCGGAAGAAAACTGCAGCAATTTGCAGAGCAATAAGAATTGATACATTTGGAAAGCCAGGCAACAATTTCTCACCACTAGTCAAACTGAGGTAAAGATAATACGTCTGAGTGGTCCGGCATCTCTTTATAAAGCACTGAAGGAGAATATCCCTTGGTCCAGGCTGCAATAACAAAAGCCAAAGAATGTGAAGAAGTGTATGAAGATCCCACTAACAATACATCGATGATGACATGAACACGAATGCAAGGCTGAAGCCCATTAAGGAGGAGGAGGAGAAGCACGACCAAGGACTGTTGTCGTCATTTTAGCTTATCAATCTACTCATGCATACATGTAATTATGCTTATTGTCCAATTGTCTTAAATCTTTATAGCTAAACACTGCAGACTTACACAGTAGTGTCTGTACCTTAGAACGACTCACAATTCGCCACTCCTCTCATTCTAAAATTGAGGATAAGATCATGATTATAACATCAAAACTCAAATGGTGACATGAATACCTAGCAATCCATTAATTCATACTCGGCTTTGGGTCTACAAAAATCTTCTATAATCACAGAATCGTTTAGCACAAGTTGAGAATCCAACAAACGGTTCACTGAGAGCTCCAGTAGTGGAAACGGAACAAAGAAAAGAATAAAAGTTAGCATGAAAGGGCGCCCACTAATTCCTATTATTGGTGAGATCCAGCAGTTTCCAGTGGAAGCTACAATGATTGTAAAAATTGTCGTGTTTTGGAAATCAAAGTCCCATCAGAACCAAGAACCCAGTAGATTTGGTAGAACAGCGGAAACGTTTAGACGACCCCAATCCATGAAAATTTATCCGCTACAAGCTAAAGTTCAACCAACAAACACGCCACATGGCTTCAAGCAAGCAGACAAATATCACATCACTATTGCCCACAGAAAATCCCTCCCCACCCCCGCGCCCCCGGCATCTTTCTGTAGAGATAAGCCTCCAGCGATTCAGTGCTTATCCGAACCGAAGGCGGTTTTTCATGAAATCGAATCAGACCCGGTGGGAAATTTGGCCCAGGCTAGACCTAGAAAACCTCTCTAAGGAAATTGAAAATTCAGTGTTCATCACATCAGTGAACTGAGAATCACAGATCGTAATTCAACTACTCTCAGTTCATATCCACACCCGATCCTGAACAAATTCGCTGAATTACGCATCTAAGCATCGAAAATTCCACCGAATCTGTGAATCCAAACCCTATAACTCCGCCTCCGACGACTGAATCTAGAGCGAGACAGAGAGAGAAATAGAGGAGAATCCAGTGAATTGTTACCTGCTTGAGGGAGAGAGGGAAGGTGAGCTTGCCGGAGAGCTCGGGAACGCGGACGATGTCCTTGGTGATGTGCCTCCAGCTGCGGCAAACGCCGGCGCAAGCGACGACGCTCTTCCGCGGCGGCCAGCTGGTCTCCGACGCCTCGATCCGCAGCAGCACTTCTCTCAGCAGCTCCTGCGGCATGTTCGCCCAGCACGACGAGTCCATCCCGTGGTTCGGCGCCGCAGCCGCCGCCGCCGGCGTGGCGTCCTGGACTACGCGGTGCGAGCGCGACCGGCTGATTATGCTCCTAATCGCAGACATTTCTACGGCAAGGCCAGGAGGAAAAGTAAATTCCTCTCCGTTTCTTGATCTAAAGCAAATGGCGATGCGTAATCAAGAATCATAAACACTGTTAGCAGTGCCGATTAAAGTGTCAATTAGGGATTTGTTTATGCGTAATTAAATTATTTTTCTTGGGGTTAATGGAATTGGAAAAGGAGAGAAAAGGGAAGGAGGTTGAGTGGGAACTGGGAAGTAGAATTGGGTTTGGAAATTGGAATGGGAGTAGGTTGGATTATATAAAGTAGGGAAATCTAGTGTTGCCGCCGTTAACTGACGCCGTGTAGTGGCGTGGGTCCCAAGTCCAGCGCTCGTTTCTTTGGGTATCATCATTTTCTTAAAATATTTTGTGAAATGTAACATTTGGGACCCTAAAATAAAACCTATCCTCCTGTTTTTGGATTGTGTTCCCATTGTTGAAGGCAGGATTGAAGCTGCTCTAACACATAACCTTTCTGTGTGATTACCGTTCAAATTATAATATTATATATTCGTTAAATGCCAGTGATAGGTTGAAGTTATAAGGGGTTAACTCTTTCAAATTAGCAATCCTCAATTAAGATTTTTGTTGTCACTAATTCGAACTATGTTTGCCATGCATCTCTTGATATTGGATATGCAATTTCCATTTGTAATTTTTGATAATGGGCTTATAAATTTAGCACAGATTTGAGAATCTTAATCAGAAATTTGTAAACATACGCTTGCAACATTTACGAACCGATTGGTTACATATTTAAAAAAACAATAATGATGTGTATTTAGGTTATGAATTGTGGCCCACTTTTTGGTACCATTACATTTCACCGTTACATGAAGTTGTATATGAAGTTGTCTAGTTGATTGGTACGGTGTTTTGGGTTCTGAGTTGTGTTTGGTCAAAGTTTGTTCTCATTCATAGTCTCGTGTTATTTGTTCCCATACAAAATGTTCTTACAATCTCGATTTTGTATGGATGTTTTGTCCATACAATTTAGTGGTAAATTCTTTTGTACTATTTAAAATACACATCGTGTGTCTCTCTGTTGTTAATAGAATCTCTCATAGAAAAATTCTATCATATATACTATGGACACACAACTTCTGAAACTAATCCATGTAAATTAGAATTTTTTTATTGTGATGAAATCAACTAGAAGCGATTGATAAGTCTAGATTTTCCGAGAACAGTTTCTTCTGCCATGTTAGGAAATGTAAAAAAGGTTGGTCATTTCTTGAAGATTAGATTGGCATTTTTCCGGGCGGACAAAAACCTATATATTTTTTTTATAATAAAAACCTTATATAATGAAAATGCAGCCAGTATAATTAAAAGGCAGCCAGTTGGTAATTTTCTATTTTTTTGGTCGTATAGAACCTTGATATAATTAAATTATGAGACAAATAAGAGTGGTGTAGAACACTATAATAATACACGAACTAAAACATCAGTCAGTTGTCATATATGTGAAACAACCATGCATTAGCTAGCTCGAATCATATGGGTTTTATTTTATTTTAATAATATAAAAACAATGGTATACCTATAAATTTTTTTGTTATTATTTATTGGCTTCCAACCAGCTTTATGTAAAGTGATGACTGTGATATTTAAGAAAAACAAGAAAAAGTGTGACTAGGTCTAGCAATAAGAAGAAATGATGACAATTGACAAGGGAGGTAGGAGTTAGATTTGGAATGGATAAAGAATGGATTTTGCCAGACAACTGAAGTGGTTATGTATGTGTATAATACTAAAATTTCAAGAAACGGACACTTGTGTTACGTAAAAAAGTGCTTAATTAGGTGTAGATAGTTTTAACTTACTTGACTTATTACCCACTTGTTTAAAATTAAATTAAATATTTAGTTAGCGAACTAACCAGTTGATCTCAATAATTCGAGTTATTGAGAAAGAATTTGTTAAGCATTTTAATCTCTTACACGCCGCGCTCAAACGAAAACCGATGTCAAATTTTGGATTTGTACAGTTTGCACATGCTGAACCCTTGTGCTGCTAAAGTACGGGGCTTTAGTTTGTCCAGTTCTAGATGGCCAGTTAACATTCAGAGGGATGATTAGTCTCTTATTTACATAAATAATAATTCCCCACGATAGATGTGGATTGGAATTTGGAGCAACTGCTCACCGTTGAACACAAGGGTAAAAACAACACACATTATAATATAAAAATCCATCGATAATCTCTCGTCATTCTAAAACCGAGTGACAAATACACACACATAGGCATGTAAGATGATGGGTGCACGCCCATAAATGAAAGGAGGGTAGTACCCTCTGCATCTTCTGACGTAACCGCAGGAGACAGATAGAATTTGAGTTCATCTACCACTACCTCTTTCGAAAAAAGTACGCAAGTAGTTTCTTCTCTTGTAACTTAGGTGATCTCTCTGTTGGGAAAATTGTTCACGTATACTATTTTCTTGCAACACAAGCAAACACATAAGATTAAGAAAAACATGCAAAGACACATGCAAGCGTCCTAGCCGATAGAATTCACTATCTCTCCTTAAAGAATCTTATTCCCCTCAAGTACCCAAGGTTGTGGAATGATTCCTCCCAGGATAGAAAGGACGTACCTTTTCCGGCGTAGCGGTACCTCAAACCCCGGAAACCATCGAACGCAGCGAAACGACGAGAACCACACTTGACTCTATTTTCTCTTTGAAAAGAATGCAGAAACTAGAGGGGGTATGGTGCTATTTATAGAAAATGAATGGATGCATTGAAGGGAGGCAACTCTTCATATGAGTGGTTACACTCCAACCATTGCATTGGTTCGTTTAAAATATTTCAACCATTGCATTGGTTCGGCCTCATGGAAGTTGGACCGGTTTGGTTATTCCAACCGCCATATCGGTTCGGTTCGAATTGGTTCAACTCGGTTTGGTTCATTTGGTTACACAAACCAATTTAACCAATTAACCACATATTACATCAAATCGATCGGATTCGAAGCCATGCCTTCCCACATCTTACCAACATGGTACTTCAAGAGACTCTCTTGAAACTTTCCCCTTTTATTTCCATTCACACCACTAAAAATCCCAACACTCTCGTGGGTTCTTTTCGGTTCGTGTTGGCGAAAGTTGGGAACTCTCTTTACTCTCCCTCCCTCCCTCCCCGTAAAGATAGATAGATAATAAGAAGTCTCGCTCAACAACTTGCACATCGATCGTGGTAGAGTCCAACATCGGACGGACAAAACTCTTGAGACCTTTTTTCTCCTTTCTTTCGCGTTACTTTAACTTTACACACAAAATAACACTACTACAAAACTGTGGCATGGATAATACACAAATCGGGTATTCACTAGAGTTGAGTACGACGGGAGTGGGGAAAGCAAGAAACCCTTTTCCTCTAACAAGAAAAAGTATGCAAAGTGCAAACCCTCCTTTTCCCTCAGCTTTACCTTCAGATTTGGGGTCAAGTAATTGAATTCGTAGTAGTGGTTGCATGTTTGGTCAAAGCTGTCTAGTATGGATTTGCAATTTGAAAAAGGGAGAAAAAAGAAAACAAACCTCTTTGCAAAAAGAAAAGAGGAAAAACAAAAGGGAGAGCGAGACGGCGAAAGAAAGAAAGAACGAAGTGAAAAAATGATATCCAAAATTGTCCCGAAGTGGCGGGCCCAGCTAGTGAGCCCACAATTGCACTAGGCTTTTAGAGGTACAAGACCCTGTAACAGCGGCATCAGAATAATCTAGTAATCTGCGGTAATTTTGTGTTTATTAACAAATCACCGGAATGCCCTATGAAAAATATTCTATTGTTTTTATTTATGTTGTTGTTGCCGGAGTGTCCACCTTCGCAATAGTATCTAATATATTCTTCACACACAGATGATCGATTAAACATTAAATTATTAATCACCGAGTGAACTTTATTCTTACAAGTAGCAATATGTTATCGATCTCTTTGTTGTTGTTATCGATCTCTTTGTTGTACAACTCAACTATGATACTTAACATTCATATGTGAGAATGTGTTTATATACGTGCATAACTATATTCTCACAAATAAGAATAGGTTTGTTGTATTGATATTCGTATACATGTGCATAATTCAACATGATCAACACGCACTCTGATGCTTAACGAGGTCTATCGACATTCTGAGGAAGCTGGAACAAAATTCCTTCATTGGGAAGTAAAAGGGTGAAAGGTCTGCTCTTTTAAAGAAAGCAAGGGCAATAGAAAGAAGAAGAAGAAAAAGAAAACGAATCATCTATTACTTCATACACACTTTGTGTGAAAGGATGTTCCCAAAACTAAAACTCCCAAACCTTATCGTTGTATGTCCTAATCCGGCATGTGGGGTTTTGTATTATTTCTCTAAGGTAAGGTCAGCATCTGTAATCACCCATGTGGCAAGGCTGGATACGAGCAGTGGATATTGGGGGGACACAATCAATCATATTCGATTAAACTCATTCGATACTTGGCTTGTTTACTAATGAATCAAATTTGAGCTAAATTTTGTCTGGCTCACAAGACTCACAAGTCAGTTTGTATAGGTGACATGTTGAGCTCAAATCATGGGCTAGCTCTTTTTCGAGCTATGAGAACGAGCCCGATGGTATGGCTAGTGAGCCAACTCAACTAACAACTTATGTGCGGATCGGTTAATGGTTTATCATTGGCTTGTTGACAATTGATAGGCTTGTTAAATTAAATATTTCATCACATATGATGTTCAAGTATTTGAGCATGTGATCAAATATGTCTCATTTATAATTTAAAAGAGAAAAATGATGTGTTATAGATTGCTCATACACCGATTACTATTGAATAACGTGATATGCACAATTACAAATTATGAACTCAATTATATGATGCCTTATTTCGAGCCCGAGCTGAGCCGAGTTCGAGTACGATTCGTGAGTTCATTAATGAGCCAAGATCGAGCCGAGCTCGAGTCAAACACAAGTCATGATTTTATTAAAGAAGCCAAGGTCGAACTCGACTCATTTATTAACAAATTGGGCCTAAAATAGATTAAAATTCGTCTCGACTCGATTCGACTCATTTAATCTAGATGGCTCTCTACTATATAGTGGGAAGAAGTTGCAAGTATAAGAGATTCATATCTGGTCGACATTCTGGAATGAGGTGAATAGTTCAGAGGGCTATATAAATGTACTTTGTTTGTGTGTACAGCAGTAACACATGGACAAAATGTGGAGAAAACGCTTTACCTATAAAAAAAAATATGAGTGAAGAGAAGAATCCCACAAAGCCACAAAATGCTCTCCTCCTACTTTCACTGTGTCCACTCACACACACACACAAACAAAAAAGGATAGATATTCGTATGAGTTTGTTCATGATGGGGGACCGCCTGTAGGATTGTTGGTTGGGGGGTTGGTAGCCATTCGGTTGAGTTGGGGAGATTAGATAAGAAATGAAGGGAATACGAGGTTCAGAACTCAGGTCGACGAAACAACACCGTCTGATCCGATTCAATCCAATTAAAAATTGAGTGAATTGAATTTGAAAATCGAAAAAAGGAGTTTGATCCAGGTCTATACAAAAAGTCTTAACCAAAAAATCAAAGGACATAATTTCCACAACAACCTAGAAAATTTGACTATTCACCTTAGTGCGGAGTATGCATAATAAGTATCATGCTTATACCTTCTCGGCTGTCGAATTTGAGATTGAGATTGAATACAACCGCAGACAGAGAGAGCGTGCAGCATTCAATCCATCGCTATCTCATCTAACCCCGCTTGTCAACTTGTCCCCGTCCCACATCAACCACTGCTTTTCTGGTGGGCAACCATTTTTAGCCTGGCAGGGTTCTGTCCTGTTTTTGTCTCATCAAAAAACAGTAATGGATGGCAGAAAAAAAGAAGAAAAAAGCTCCTCTGTAGTTTAGTGACTCAGAACTGGAGACTTGTTTACTTGGATGATAAGCAAAACAAAAAGAGAGGTGGAGAAAAGTGCAGCACTTGTGAATTTTGACAAGCCAGAAGGGTTTCTCTGAATCATCTCACAAACTGCTTCTTGTTTTTGGAATCGTAGGATGGTCATGGCGATGGCGGTGTAGTAGTATTGATCATATATAGTGAAGGACTTCTTACAAAATAAAATAGGATCTCATCGTCCCTATATCAGAGATCAAACTCAAACGTATAAAGGGAACATTTGACAAGCGTTGAAATTGCTACACTAACATCTATTACATTACGGTGTCAAGCCAGTTCAAATAACTGTGTCTCCATAAAACTTGCATGTTGAAAATTATTGATATCTATATGAATATATTTATAAAGTTTGTAAACATTGTCAGCGGGGATAGCTCAGTTGGGAGAGCGTCAGACTGAAGATCTGAAGGTCGCGTGTTCGATCCACGCTCACCGCATTCTGTTTTTTTCGACAAACAAACCACAAACGGAATATAGAAGAGTTTGGGCTTGAGGCTCATTACAATTATCATAGAAATTATGGGCCTGCAAAGTTGTCCACAATTCAGAATAGTGAACGACAAACAAACCACAAACGGAATATAGAAGAGTTTGGGCTTGAGGCTCATTACAATTATCATAGAAATTATGGGCCTGCAAAGTTGTCCACAATTCAGAATAGTGAACGACAAACAAACCACAAACGGAATATAGAAGAGTTTGGGCCTGAGGCTCATTACAATTATCATAGAAATTATGGGCCTGCAAAGTTGTCCACAATTCAGAATAGTGAAGGGTTTGGGCTTGGGGCTCATTACAATTTATCATTACGTAGGAATGATGAACCTGCAAAGTTGTTTATAACCAAGGATTTAATTGAGATTTAGCTTTTCTGTTTTATAAGTAAGCAAATGTCACCCTCACAAGCATAGCTCGCCATCTTTGGAGGTCAGTAACTCTAATAATTCCATCTCATTGAAATTGAATTCGAATAAAAAATTGTCAACACACAGACAAGTACATACTAACATAAGCTAGCTATAGCTAGACATCAAAATCCGTACTCAATAGAAAGTGATAAAATTTATGATGGGTGCTGGTTGAACAATTTCGCTATGGTACACGACTACACGTCGCCCAAGCCAGCAACGGAGGATCAGGATATAGCGGCTGGGACACGGGCTCGAGGAAGGGGACGAGCCGTTCTTGAGTTGTGGGGAAGCCGAGCTGAAGGTAGTGGTGGGGCCACGACCATGATCTTTGCACTTATCACACAACAACTTTGCATCTTTTGAACTTCCACGTGAGTTTGGAGTTTGTTTGGCATTGGCCTTGCCCCCCAGACCACCACTCAAGGATTTGTTCCCAGCCAGCACTGGTGTGGCAACCCCATGTCGGGTTTGATCGAACTTGCCCCCCTCTCTACTCAGTGGAGGTTTTGGGGACAATTTACATAGAGGATTTTGTTGATTCATGCCAACTTTGGTAGCATTGGATTTTTTCACGTGACTACCACCCCCACACTGCAAAGTTTTTGCTGCAATCCTTTTTTGAATTTTCCTAGAATAGGACAGATTTGACAAACTTATTTGCCACTTGCGATGTTGTTTTTCCATCAACCGACCATGCGGTGGGATCTCATGCCCCCCTAGCGGCTTAGATTGAACACCATTGCGATGTTGCTTAGACAACCCATCATACGTGAGCTTGCTATGCTCGACGCGATTGTAACCAGGTTCTCGACCCTGGTTCTTGC